CCAACTAACCACAATAGCTATAACCAATTCAAATCAGTTAGTCATTCAAGCTATTGAATCAAATGGCCTTAAAATGAAGACTAAGGGTTCATGGCATCACATATTGAACTAACTATATTGGGGAACTAATCATATTTAGCTCAGCAATAGATGAGCTGGAATCAACTGGCTGACATATGCCTTAATCAGATTGAAATACACAAGAAGAAACAGTCAACAGGGCTTTAAGGGTATTGACAGATTCAGGATGACAAATGACCAATAAATTCAATTCAATGAACTGAATATACCAACAGGCTCAGTTCTAAGTTCAAATATACCAACGAGCTCATTTTAGTACAACCTTAGAACACAAACGAGGCAGGAGGGGAAACAGACATGTATGAACCAAAAATTAGACTATTATCATGTTAATCTAACATTCAAGCCTACCAGATTAATCGACGATACTTATTCGATCGATTACACAAATTATAACACATAAAAATCGACAACAACAAAAGCAATGATAAAATTTGGACTAAATAAAAGGTCTGATGGAGAAGGACAAAATTAATCGACAACAATTGAAAAATCCATAAAGCTACACTAATCAAAGTAAACAGAATAACCAAACCCAAAACGGAACGAACAAGAAAAGGAAAATACCTCAAGCTTTCTAGGAAACATGGATGAACCTGATTCGAATTCAAACTCGAACTGTTTGAGGTCGAACGGACCTTAATCGAGTGTTCTCAACTGATAACACTTCGACTAAAGTCGGTTAGACCCCAAACCCTCCTTCAGTTGGGACAGATTTCAACCTCTAGCTTTTTAGGGTTCTTGGGGGTTTGATTTAGGGTTCGAGTGGTTTTGCTCTGATTCGAACCAAACCCACGGTGGTTTGGTGATGAGGGAGGTCAGGGACATGTCTGGTATGAGTTTGGGACTGGTTGCGGTAGATCTAGTTTTGCTCGAATCTTCGATTGAAGATTCGAGAAGTTGGAGGTAGATTCGAGGCAAACGGTTAGCAGATCCATAACGAGGGTGGTCAGGGGGTGCCTTGATGTGAGTTTGGGACTGATTGGGGTGGGTTTCAAGTTTGCTCGAATCTTCGATTGAAGATTCAAGAAGCTTCAGTCTAATTTGAGCAAAACAGTAACGGGATTCGTGGAGAGGGCAGTTAGGTGCTCTAGGGGTGTTGGTTTAATGGTCATCAGCGTCGTTGCCACCGGCTTTCAGGAGAAAGGGTTTCAGGGCAACNGGGGAAGGTGGGTCGGGTTGTAGGGATTGTTCTAAGGCGTTGGATCAAATGAACTGAATGGCCTGGATATGCCGACTATATACGACGTCGTTTAGATAGATCTGGGGATTGACTGGACCGTTCGATCGAGTGAGATCAACGGCCCAGATTTTTCATGCCCCTAACGGCGTCGTTCCATTTGTTCCCAAGGCTGGCTGGGTAGGACCAGGCAAGAAGGTGTTTGGACTGGGCCTGGACTCTCTTTTACAATTGGCCCAGTCCGATTTTCTCTTGTTTTCTTCTTTTTCTTTTATTTTCTTTTTCTTTTAAAAACTAAAATTCTAAGTTGAATTATAAATCAAATTAACTTATTAAAATACTAATTAGCTATTAATAATAATTATCAAACATGATTAAGTACCAATAAAATATAAGATCACACAACTAGACCTTAAATGCCTAAAATGCAAAGTACATTATTTTTGTGATTTTTTCATTTTTGACGAAACAACAATTTTCTGATTAACTAAACAAATGTAGAATCAAATCCTAAATGCAAATGCCATATTTTTGGTATTTTATTCTTAATTTAACAAATAAACAGGCACGAACGAATGCAAACAATACAAAATTCACAACAATTGCAAACAACACAAGATTTATTTTATTTTGAATTTTTTGGGAGTAGTTCTCGTAGGGCAAAAAATCACGTGCTCACATGCATTGGTGATAAATCCCCTTTTCTTGCCGCCTCTTCTCTACATTGTTGTAACATTGCATCTTCTTCGCCTTGTTCACAAAACTCTCTCCCTAAATTCACAGGTTGTGGTTCATTTTGAATCGTATCTAGTGACACCAAGGCAGATTCTCCAGTTGCCACCATTGCCTTACTTTGTTGTTGTCCAATGTGTTGTAATTTGTTGTTATTCCTACCTACAGGACCTGTGCTAGATGTAATAGGATTTACAGGTATGGAACTTACCATAGCTTCCAAAAGCTTTCTCTCCTCCTCTGAAATAACTGGTTTAGTGGTGACCAGTTGTTGCTGCCCAGTTTTTGCCCGATCAGTAGGATGTGCAGCTTTAACAGTCTGCCTTGTACCTGCTGTTGCAGCTTGAGTTGGACTTGTATTTGGGGAACAGCTCTTAGCACCTACAGTAAGCTGCTTGGAAGAAGTTGCTACATGTTGAGGCAAAATTCTAGCTGGGGCATTTTGAATTGTAGCACTAGGAGACATTCTGGGAANTGCTGCCCAGTTTTTGCCCGATCAGCTGTAGGATGTGCAGCTTTAACAGTCTGCCTTGTACCTGCTGTTGCAGCTTGACTTGGACTTGTATTTGGGGAACAGATCTTAGCACCTATAGTAAGCTGCTTGGAAGAAGTTGCTACATGTTGAGGCAAAATTCCAGCTGGGCATTTTGAATTGCAGCACTAGGAGACATTCTGGGAACAAATGCAGGAGCATGGAGGTTTAATTTGCTCGTGGGGACTGCTGCAATTTTCCCATGAGACTTTGACTTAACTAGAGACTCAAGCTCCTCACCTACACTCTCCTGATCTACCTCCTCGTCACCTTCTTCAGCTGAGTATCCTGCAAAACCATCGCCCTAGTCCTCCTCTTCATCTTCATCTCGTTGATCTTGCCACAGTTTGGATGTAATAGTTTTAAGCCTCACATTTGTTTGTATAACCTCGTTGTTATTCCCTGTTGACAACATAAACTGCCTAGATTCACCTTCTAATTCCCCAAACGACTCCGCAGATTGAGAAGGGATATCATATACGGAGGTGTTCAAAGTGACCACAGGTTATTTCACAACAGTAGAATTTTTCATCATTTCATTCTGAGCATCTTTGATGATTTGCTCTACTTGAGGGTTGGAAAAATGCATTGTAGGTGCATTTGAACTGTGTGCCTCTGCCTTTTGCTTATCAACACGAAAAATTTCCTTCGAAATAGTGAGACGATCACCTATGTTCTTGGAATTTTGCTGCTGCGTGTTACTGCGTAAAGGTTGTAGTTCCTCATTTTTCGGAGTTGTGTTCATCATCATAGCTGCTTGGGATTTCTCTACCATTTTAGCTAGCTTTGTATTGGAAATGTACATTGTTGTTGTAGGATCATCATGTACTTGACTTGCCTTAACAATGTAATTTTTATCTGTTGCAATCCCAAGTCGATCATTTAAACCTGTGTCACCCTGCACCAGTTGCAATATATTCCTAGCTTCCTTCTCACCTTGCTCATGGACATTAAGCAAAGCATCAAAAGAGTTAGAACACTTGAAAATTTTTGCTGCCCTTTCCAGTATTTTAATATCTGAAGCCTCCTTCTTGCTAGGTGATCGATGCACAACTGACCAACCCATATTCTGTGATTGTTGCCCATGTCGATACTCTGCTCTAACACCTGATCCCACAACAGAAGCAACATCTAAACAAGTTGCTTGTACAACTGATTCAACATTAGCAGATGAACTAAATTGTGCACCTGCTACTGTTGCATTGTTCAGAAAAGCTGAAGCTAATGCATTACCATCAGTAATCTGCAAAATCTGCCCAGTTCTTTCTATTGCATTAACCCTTGCATCATCCATATTTCGAGCATCAGTAGTGAATCCCTGCTCTTCAGATTTCCAGCTGCATTTAGTGTATCAGCATCCTGATCCACCTTCTTAGGATTTGGAGATTTTTCTACACGTTCCACAGGTGCTACAATATCTATATTAAGACAGGTAAATGCAGCTCTATCCACTGTTGTATTCAGTGCAACATCAATCTCCATATTTGACCCTATAGTATTAGGAAATTTTACATCTTTTTCAACATCTCCTGCCCCTTGACGATTCTGTCCAGATAAAGTAACAGCTAAATAACTAGCAGCCTTCAAAGCACCAGCTGTTGCTGCATTCATTCGTTCAAAAACTGTTGCAGTAGGGATGTCAGCTGGAGGTTTGACTTTCATAGGAGATGATGCATCACCTACTGCTATCCCTTGTTTACCAGCATGAATTCCTTCATCATCCCCCTTTTGTCCAGTATTAGCCAAAACCAAATAGGCATTAGCCTTTTCATTAACATTAACACTTTGTTGTCCTCCATTGGGATGCAAAATCAACTGGTTCACGACTACACCCTCAACCTTTTTCCCAGCTTGATCTTGCACTTGTTGGACCTGTATGTCCTCAATTGTCTTGTTCACAACCACCTCTTTACTACCATCATTCACAGTGGCCTTCAAATTATTTTGCTGCCCAGAAATTGTATTTTTTCCAGGTCCTTCAATCAACAGTTGGCTAGCTCTTTTTGAATTTAAATAGTCCCGTGCATCACCCTGTAGTTTCTCCATCACACCTGTTGCATCCATTTCATCCTCCACCTGTTCATCATGTGTTACTGGTTTTTTTCCTAAAAGGATGCGACATGTATATTCGTCATGTCCTTGATGCTTGCATTGGTTACAATACAAAGGTAAATTATCATACGTAACTTGTTGAAGCTGTTCAACAATCTTTCCAGTTCCTCCATCAACATATTTGAGCCTTATTTGTTCTGGATGTTTGTCCAAAATATTCAGAATCACCTTGACCCTGGTTGTACTAGGTCTAGATCTAAGTTGAGTAGCCTTATCAATAGCAATAGGCTTTCCAACAGCTGCTGCAATAGACATTAAGGCACGCCTAGCAAACAACTCAGGGGGTAAACTTGGAAACGAAATCCATATCACTGCCATAAATGTCTCTTCTTTTGGATTGTATCCAATCGTCCATGGAAACACTCTAACCTGATATTCTTTTCCTTTGTTCGAAAAATAACTAACTGACCTTGCAAGACAAATTACAAAGTCTTCATATTGATCCAGACGAACGAGAATCTGTCTTTGCGCAAGAAGTCCGATCCAATAGTGGCCTTTGACGCCAAACTGTTTTGGAAGGATTGTACGCAATTCTTGCAATTATGGAGCATTAGGAGAAACCTTCACTACAATGGCTTGATGTAAACCTTCCTCCCTTGCAAAGTCTTCCCGTTCCTCCATTATAAACTGTAACGTTGGGATTCCTTGAACTACTTCGTTTGGCTTCAAGATTGTTTTTGTAACTTGTCCAGTTGTTTGTTTATGGATCAAACTTGCTGCATATGAATTGGGTTTGTTGTTTATGGAGTTATTAAGGATTGGAGGGATGATTTTAGATGGCTCTCCCACAGCTTGGAGCTGGGGAGAGACGACAACATCCATGGCTGCTCAAGACGTCACCATATCATTGACGTGAAGAGCAAAAATTAACGATAAAATATTGAAAAATCTGGAAAAAGAGTTGCCTGCTACAGTAACCGCAAACTAAATTCAAGATCTCTTACAAATGGCTATGGATTTGAGGATGAAAACAAATGGGGTTTGTGCGCAAAGACTAGATGTTTCTTTTGACACCAACTTTGCGAAGATCCACCACCGGATGCCGGAGTTGAGGCGCGTGAATAGTGACGGAATTACTATTCACCCTTCTTCCTAGAGAGAATGAGGAGGATTTTAGAGAGAGATGGTTTTTAGACATCATTAGTGTCTTCTTGGAAATGACAAGATGCTCTTTTTTATTGGTTTGAGAAGTGGGGCTTGTATGTTGAGTTGGAAAGGAGTAATATTTCATCTAGTCTCATTTGGGTTAGATGTAACACAGTCTTTAAAGACCTGTGTAATTCTGTATGCATTTTGATACTGTTCTTTGATCAAAATTGCAGAAGAGGAAGGCGTCTGACATGATTGGTCCTCATTGGAGTGAGGAAGACCTGACACACTTCTATCAAGCGTACCGCAAGTATGGTAAAGATTGGGAAAAGGTCTGTCCAAATTCAAAGTATATCCATTAATTGAAGTTTCTTGATTATCCCGGTAAGCATGTTTTTGCTGTTGGTTGATCCCTGACGCCTTGCCTGTAAGAGCTGCTTTCTACTTATTGCAGGTTGCTGCTGCAGTGAAACCCCGAACTGCAGAAATGGTGGAAGCTCTTTACATAATGCATATGGTAGGCTCTGAGTGCAGACAACAAAGTCACATGTGTCTTTATTATTGAATCCTCTTTGCTTATGAAATCATTGAATGTCGTATCTTGATAGCAGTACTTCTCTTCATCTTCTTATCCATCTTATGAACTATGTTCCTGCTGATGTATAGCTGGACTTAAATGTCACCTATACTGATAGCATGGTGAGAGAGCCCATTTTGTCAGAATCTCGATCTAATGTTTCATGTTGTTGGCTTGTGAAAATTTCAATATAAGTTATTTGAGGAACACAATATCTAATAAGTCAAAAAAATTTCACAATGAAATCTGGTTAGGGTTGTCAACTTTTGTGGGGTCGTATTTTTCTGATGTTCAGATTCTCTTTTTCTGTAGGCAATCATATTACATTGCCTAAACTTGACCTTATAAAAAACATCATTTTACATTGCCTGCGTTGGTTACACAGCCTTTGTTTCTCTGTCTTTTGGAAATAACTTAGTCTTTTCTCTTACGTGGTCATGATTGCTGATAATATCATATGTGTTTCCAATTTGTATCATAGACGTGCGGATGTTATGAACATGCGCTCTAGTCTCCTATCTCCATGAGTGTGCTGTACATAATCAGAAAGTAACTTGTGTAATCACAATTTCTTATTTTGTACTCACCAGTTGTATAGATTTCAGCCGTTCAACAATAGGTTTCCATGAGTCCTCTAAGATATTCACGTAGTCGAGCACTTTCATACATAATTTTCTGTTTTCTACCTTGTTTCTCTATCCTTATTTGGAACACGTGTTCTAACATGTGGGTAATTGATGTTACTTGAAAAGATTTGTATCAAAGATGACCCTCAGATCCATAAATCTGCATTACCAGTTGGTGAAATGATTTGTTCATTTTCTTTTTGATGCTATTATGTTGCGTTAATACAGTGAAACAGCCTCCATATGCCATCATTGCATTTGATATAGAAAACTGTCATTTCCTGGTGAAGTGCATGATACTTAGAATGAGCCATCTCTTTCAGAAGAGAATACCAATAGTCTTTTGGATTAACATTTTGGTGAAAAAGAGTAATCGCTTCATTTGTGAACGTTGTTACCCCTTACATGGTTATATACATAAAATACATGGAGTGCCATGTTAAACATCATGAACCATTGTCTTTATGAAAAGATCATCAAAAATCAGGGTCTTGTGATTTTTTCCAGCAACAGGGATCAGCGTCAATTTTGTCATTGTTCTTGTGGTTATATTTTACGACAACAGATGACGCTGAATAATTATTCTACATGAATATATTGTTAAGTCATACGTGAAGATGAAAGTTACCTATTTTATTCTACTGTATTTTCAGGCTTATTTATCGCTTCCAGAGGGGACTGCATCTGCGGTTGGGCTGATTGCCTTGATGACTGATCACTACTGCTACTTGGTATGGCTTGAGATATATTGAGTGAGTAAGGGGAATGTGCGTTATATTATATGTTTTATCTGCCCATGCCTCACTCCCTTCCCCATCCACCAGACATATTTTTCCTTTTCCTATTTTTTTCAAGTGGAAGGAGTAGTGTTATACATGAAAGAGATACTAGAATTTTATCGTCGTGGCATCAGTGTATTGGAAACAACCTCTCTACCTCCACAAGGTAGGGGTAAGATCTGCGTACATACTATCCTCCCCACAGATCCCACTTGTAGGCTTTCACGGGGTATGTTGTTGTTGTTGGCATATTGCTTGAATACTTCAAACGAAAAGTGAAGCTTGTCTTGAACACAAATGTCTTTGCAATCTGTTATTAGATAAACATCAGGAAAGATGATTCTGTGCATTAGGCCACAGATTCTGATGGTCAGCAGTAGTTTCCTTTAAAGAGTAGTGAATATCTGCTCAATGCTATCTCTTATATTTGTTCATGATTTCTGAGTTCTAGTGTTTAAATTTTGTAGCTGAGTCTTTGTTTTTGGAAATTTCTGTTGAAGTACCTTGACTATGAGATATCAGGCAGAAAGCAACAGTGAGCAAGAAAGTAATGAGGATGCTGGAACATCTAGAAAACCTCAAAAACGTGCTCGGGGTAAAAATCAGCCTAATGTTTTAAAATCATCTGAGGTGGCATCCCCAACGTTAGAAACTACACATGGTTGTTTAACTTTGTTGAAGAAGAAGCAATCAGGAGGTGCGTTGTCCCTTCTACCCCTCCCACAACAAAAAAGGGATAAATTAAAACAAATGAAGAATTATTCATACAAAAAATATAGAGTAATAAAATAACTCTAAATAATTTTCCTGCTGGACTTAGATTTAGACTTTTCTTAGGTACATTTTACTGTCATTGCATTCTACTTACATGCACTAGTAGCTCTCTCCTTTTTTTTTTCTTTTTTTTTTATGTAGGTTGCTTTCCATATGTCCTATTTACATACTGAACTGATGCTTGACCTCTTTGAATGCTAACAAACAAAATCTTGCTTTTCATTTATTATCTGTAAATGCAGATAGAAGAGTACTTTCTTTTTCTCTTGTATAAGGATTGAGCCCTTGTCATGTGATATTATTGATGAAGTTTCTCTGGAGTTGCCTTTCAGGAAGCCGGCCTCGTGCTGTTGGAAAAAGAACCCCACGCTTTCCTGTTTCTTTTTTTATTGAAAATCCCAAGGGTGAGAAGTATTTTTCTCCAAGTAGGCAGAGTTTAAAACTACAGGCAGATGACACTGATGATGATACGGAGATAGCATTAGTTTTAACAGAAGCTTCACAAAGGGGTGGTTCTCCTCAGGTCTCTCAGACAGCAAGCCATTGGACGGATAGTGCTATGTCCTCACCTATTGAGACTGCTGAAAGAAAGGTATTGCTCAATTTTTGTTTAATATTGTGACTACTCTCCACAAACTATATGTGCTCAGCAGATCAACTTTTTGATACTTTCTTATTCTTTTTCTCGACTAGCGTGTTAAAATGGACATGGGCAATGCAAAGCTTCTTAGTAATGAAGTGGATGAAGAAGAGGAAAGCATGGAAGCAGTCACTCATGAGCTGTTGCGATATAATAATGATTTGGCGAGATCTGGAACCATTGGTCGAACAGCACAGAAGGGAAGGAAACCTTATGGTAAAAAGTTAGAAGTTGATGATAGTGGCGACAATCATCTTGATGATATCAAAGAGCCATGCAGTGGTACAGAAGAAGGTCAAAAATTGGGTGCGGTGAGGGGTAAACTTGAACTGGAGGCTACCGATGAAAAGAGTTCAAGGCCCTCTTTACAAGTCCCTAGAAAGAGGAGCAAAAAGGTTCCTTTTAGGAGAGGTATTACAAAGTTGTGTAGGTTACTATTCTTCAGAAACTTTCCATTTCAATAAACATACAGCATTTTAAATGTTCCTTTTTGTCCTCTTTGATTATAATATCTTATCTTTGCTATTAGTTAAGAGAGGGAAGGGGGATCCACGTATGGAAATATAAGAAAAGTAGAGGCCCTAATAGGATTTGAACATGCAACCTAGTTTGACAAGAGAGTGATGGATTGCGTATAGGTGTTCGTAACACGCAGCGGAAGACAATAATAATCCTAGATAAATCTTTTTATATTTAAAATTTATTTACATGTCAATAGATCACATCTAAGACGTACCTGGTGAAGAGAGTCTCGTTTCAAAATTTCTTCAATAGTGCGAAGACTCTATGCGTATTCACACCGAGACTGATCCTTGCTATCAACTCTTTGATCAATGAAACCCGCGAACAAATTGAACGAAATATTGTGTTGAAATTTTTCACAAAAATCTCAACTCAATGTTAGAAGAACAAGAAACAGTTTTCTTGCAATTGTATTTTCTCTCTTGGCTTTGTATTGCACTCTCACTTTCACAAAGTGAGTTTTCTTCTCAAGAAAAAAAATTGTACAAATTTTTGTTCCATCACTCTTTATATAGCATCACCTATAAACCCTTTTCCTATTTGGTTGAGGTAGTGATTTACTTAGGGTAAAAATTTATTTCAAAAATAAACTTTGTACAATTTTTTCATAAAAAATTCGAATCCATCCAGATGGGTTTTGCCAAAGACGGTCACATGAATATTATTCCAACTNCCTAGGGCCATAGGTGTCTAGTATCAAAGCACAATAAATAACTTGTCAATTACTATGACGATCTCAGGTCAAAGGAAACTTTTACATCACATTCTTCAAGAGAACATCCTATTGACAGTTATGGTAATTCTAACCATTAGGAATTATCCAATGAGTCGGTTCAATAATCATATCTCTATATGCATCATCTATCTATGTAATTTAGTTAATGAGATCAACTAATCTTTATTCCATAAAGACGATTACATAAATATTGATCTAACCGGATTACTAATATCCAAATTAATAATCCTACGATCAAGAACAAATTTAGATTAAATTATAAGAGACTTTTCTCTCATTATCATGATCTCTATCACGATGACAAATCCCAAAATTTAATCAAGGACCTTATCAAATTAATCAAACAATTGATAATAACTATGATAAAAGAATGCCATATATTTTTATATCAAATAACGTTCACAAAAATATGTTCAAATCATCAAATATGATATTGGATCTAGG